AACACTGCATACAAATAGCCCTCCCAGGCATATCTGGATTTGTCCTGAGTGAACGAGATCATCAATCTAGGAAAAACAGAAAAAAGAAGAAGAAAACATGCTAATCTCCTGCTTCATCTTTAGCACTTATCTAACAATGTCCTCATTTCATCCTGCCACTCCTGTTATCGGTTATGAATGACCCCCTGCCTTCTTCTCATCACATCAGAGAGAGGGTGAAAAGGCTTAACATCCCTTTTTTTTTTTTAAGTGATTTATAGTTTTAATCTTTATTTTTAGCCTCATTTTTTTTAATTGTTTTTTTAATTTTTGTTTAAAGATAAATCAAAATATAAGCTTGATCAATATGTTAAATGAGAAATGTAGTTTGAGTAGTGAAACAGTCTAGATTTTGTGTCTGTAGACATGATCCAACTTAGTTCTTTACCTATTGGTGTCAGCAATGTGAAGGATGTCTCTTAAATGTTCAAATGTCATGAGATCTTATAAGTTAAGAATTACGAAGAAAATGTAAAGAAGTGGTGTTGAAGTAAACTTTGATAAATCGGATAGATAGTGTGTGGTTGGACATCAGATGATCTTAAGTCAGCAATGTGTTTGAATGACTAGATAGGAGGAGAGAGAAGGGGGGGCAAACAGGCACTTGGCTGAGGATAAAAGAGAGCGCCCAGATGCATTCTTTGCTCTTCCCTTCATCTGCTGTGAGATGAACAGTTCAGAAGATTGGATCTCAAAGTGAACTTTGTGTCTGACGGAGGATAGGACTACAGAACACTGAGATAAGCACATCTTCAGACCTGGGCGTGCCTGTGTCCTCTCCAATGTTAAGAACAAACTCAGCATTAAATTCACCTTTTAACCCATTGTGAAACAGTACAGGTAAAAATCTGAGTATTGACCCATTTTAATGTAAATAGCTCTTACGGGTTACTTCAGCCCTTTACGCATAACATACCCTTGAGGCCTACTGTCAAGCCCTCTAAAGCTAACCCACTTAAATACCAAGCACACCAATAAAGAGGGGAGCCGCTGTAACTATGTGCCTGACGGAGGCCAGGACTGCAAGGCTACTCGGGTCCCTGGATTTTATCAGATAAGCAGGGAAGACATACGGATGATTTTGAGACCATTAAAGCTGGGCGAGCTCCCTGAGCCACATCAGCCCCATCTGAACTCTGCATTACCTGCTGGGTAATACTCATATAGCGATTAGAACTTCTTAAACAGAGAGCTGACCCAGACTTCCTGTACTGGGGTGCTGGTCCCGCAGACTGACAATAGGGAATAGTTAACCCAAAGGATTGTACAAGGTAACTGCAAGTGAATAAAAAAAAACAAACATCTGTGACAGATAATTGTATAAATTCCTTTCCTTTTGTTAAGGAATATATATATATTTTTTAGTACTTATTTTCTGATTATTTTTGTCTTATGCAGGCCAGAATATTAAGAGGCCACTTTTCACTCATTAAGTGTTTTAAAGGTCATAAATTGCTAAGCAAGACTGGAACACTGTGCAGAACAGAGAGTCTTGCGCAGAGCTGCAGAGTGTAGGCAGAAGTTGTTTTGATCAAAGCTGTGTGTGACGTGTAAGTACCAAAATAACAGGAGGAGGGAACTGACTATAATCAGTGTTGGGAAGGTTACTTTTAAAATGTATTCCATTACAG